GTGTTATCTGTGTAGTGTTAAAGGCCCAATCGATTTTCAATGTACCCAACTCACCAATAATAAAACAAAATATATATACAGTTTTTCTCAGTTTAAATTGGAAAATACTTTTTTTCCCGCTGTTTGCGCGTGTGTTTAAGTTACCAGTATATTGAGTCAATTCGCAATTTATTGCTATAATCTTTGATTGAAATAAGTAGGTAAGTAAATGATAACTTTATACTACATACAGAGCTTAATGATATAATACGAACATTTTCAATAAATAATTTATTTATTAAATATTTTATTTAATAATTTATTTATATAGTTTTAAATATAGAAAAAAATGTAAGGTTAAATTATGATTTGACTGATACGAAATCTACATATATATGTGTGCATATTATTTATAGAGTTGCTCACTTGTGTTGCTATAAATGTTCAAGAATAATATTTGATTTGGTATTTAATTTTGATGGTGGACTGATGATTATAACTATGATGATTTTACACACACACTATTCTCGAACAACCAATGTGGACATGTGGTTGGTGGTCAAAATGTTATTATATAGGATTAACTTTTGAGATTCTGAGCAGAGTGAAAGAATGTATTGATTTTACAATAATGTGTGGTTTTTTTCTATCTGTCAGGAACATTTTGGGTAGTAAAAATGCTCCGATTTTTGAGATCACCATCTTTTCTGATAGAAAAGGGAATTTTGTTGGTTCCTTTGGGAGGTAAAAATAGAAAATTCTTAGTAGTAATAGAAACCGTCAAGAAAAACAAAAAAGAGTGAGAAAGTGGTAATTCGTAAGCAAAAGCAATTTTTGCAAATTATAAATGTTAATTTTTTAGTGTACATAACTCAAAAATGAATAACACTAGACCCTTAAAATGTTCACCAAATATTTATACTAGCATTTTCCATAAATGGTAACATTTTAGAAATAATTTTACTCGTTTTGAGCTAGCCTTGATACATTTTTCGAATTTTGTACATTTTTTTAAAAATTATTCTTGATAAAAACGAGATAAAAGGGTTTATTATTTAATTCAAATATAACACATTCATTAAAATGACATGCTTGACAATACTGCTGTACAGCAGAGCGGTACCCACTTTTCTACATTTTTTAAATTGTGGTAAAAACTACAGACAAGATACCTAGTATAATTTTCAATTTATGTGTAAGTTTACAATATTGTTACTTTTTTATAAATGCATATTAGCAAAATAATCTATATTAGGGTATCGTCATAAAAAAAAAATGTTGAGAAGCATTGGTTTAATAAAGCAGGAGATAAAATAAAAATGTTTACTGGTTTTCAGAACAAGTTTTATACTTGTATATTAGTTTCATGTGTATTTTTATATCAAGTAGGGATTATATACCTATGTATGAAAGTTTGGAGTACATACCTAATTGAATGAGACAGATAACAAAATATGTATTTTATAAATTTTAAAAAAATCACAAAAAGCAGATTAAGTACGGTTCTCATAATGAATAGATTATCAAAATTTATCTTGATATGACCACTATTAGCGTTATAATATTGTGTAATAACATTTATTACATTCTTTTGTAGTTCAAAATGTAATAATGTTGATTAAAATTAACAGGTATAGAAAATAGGTGATTAATCATTATACGCCAATCCACTTTAAATATTTGGTATTGCGTTCTCAAAATATTTGTCCCCACATGACTGACATTATGTTAACTGTTAAGCACTATAAATTGTATGGAATCTGAGCTAATAATGTGACAATATGCTCGCTTGTGTGATTTTAGCTAGATATTAGAGATGTAAAGTTGGTGTTTTGGTATTTGGGCATTGATAAACACTGGAATACATAGTTATACGTAGTTCAGATACACGGAAGTGTTAAGAATTGTGTTAAGTATTTAGTCAAATACAACTGCACTATTTTAATTATATAATGAAATTCAATATTCTGAATTGAGTACAATTGTTTTATTTATTAAAATTTATAATACATTTATAATGTAGGTATTAATGTATTAGGCATACACAAAATATAATATTTTACTATTGTAATATTATGAATGATTTTATAGTTTATGTATATAACTATTAACTATGCATATTGATTGATACTATGATAGATATATTATACTAAGTATATTAACACGTTTTGATAAATAAATTCATTTTAATATAATACAATTAATATTATATCATTTAATGTAGCTTTGATGAGTTTATTAAATAAAACAAAATAATTGAATTAGAATAATTAAAATATTTATTATTATCATGTAGGTTAATTATTTTTTGCTTAATGGATTTTTAAGTTGTAATTTTAGAATAATAAATAAAATAGGAAAATTTGAAATAATACAAATATAATAAAATTTCTAAATGTAGAAAACTATTTCATACGTTTTAAAACTTGTTCGATCAATTTTATTAATCGCTCGATTTTAAAGTTTAAGGAGGTTAAACAATAGCAAAAGTTTGAGGGTGCTGTTGGAAAAGTTTTCATTCATCAATTTTAATTAACAGTAAAATAATTAAATCACGTAATAAATATTAAGTGAAATTGTCACACAAAGAAGGTCACCTAGTAGGATTTTAGTGATACGGAAATAATCATCATATTTTAATTTTTCTTGGCTTCAAAATTATAAACGTGTCTATATAATGTGAATTTGAAAATAGACATTTCAAGTCCAGTTATAAATGTTTTATTTATAGTTCAATTTTTGCACACATTTAAATATCTAGTCAACATACTTATATTAGCAAAGTAATTTTATTATTATTATTCATAATAATAATCCTTTGAAAAACAAAAACAAAATATATTGTAACACGGCGTCTTGGATATGCAATATAGGTACATCAAGTTGTAGTTGAATTTTTCCACTATCATATTTTGTAAAAATTGTTAAGTTAAGAAAAAAGAATAAAAAAAAATTAGTTTTAAAAAACTAAAAAAGGTTTTTAATTTAACTATAATTATAAATTATGTTATATTTTAATTAATTTAATTTACAAGTGATATAATATACGGTTAACGCGGTTGTTTTTTGAAAGTCAACCAAATCAAATTTTAGAAATAGCTTTTCGTCATGCAAAACTAGTGATCAGCCTGGTTCGGAATATACCAAGTTTACCACTGTACGTTTAGCCGTTGTCGAGAAATCGCTCTGACAAACAGACAAGATTCAAAGTTAAATAAAAACCTTTAATAATCTAAAAACTAATATATAAGTATAAATAGTATAAAGTTAGTAATGATGCTTAAATAATAATTAGGTATAATATATAAATTATTTTACATTAAATACCTGATACAATTAAATAAATTTGCCTTAAGTATAATTGATCCATCTAGCGACCATCCACACTTATATATCAACAATTTTACTTATACAAAGTTATTTATAATTTTTGAGTATAATTTGATTTCTAAATATATTAATATTTACTTATGCTGTTTATATAACGTCAACATAGTGTACAAAACTATTGCATCGATTCTCGTTATAAAAGAAACACGTCCGTGTTTTGTACATTCGTCTTGACTTTTCATTAAAAAAAACTTCAATTTGTAGTCTGGGTTTATTGTCACAATACACATTATTTGTGTCTGTAATGTCGGAAAGGTCACCAATTTGATAACATCTAAGAGGGTTGAAAATAAAACAAGAAAATTCTTGGAAATAAAAATTTACAAGCAGTAAAATTAGAAAAAGTTGTTAAGACTTTTAATTAAGTAATATACTGAAAAGTAAATACGTAACACTACGTTAAATAGGTAATTTTATGATATTTGAATCTTATATTATTTAAATATTTTAAAATGTGTTAGGTTTTAAGGTACAGTATTGAAAAACTACTGATTGAAGAACTAAAGAGATTATTTATTGATGAATTATTATTTTTAAGATTTATAATCATTGTGACATTGTATACCATTTCATGAATATAGTATTACGTGCGTTATTTTTTTAATGAATCAGACACATTTACAATAATAACCTTCAACACTATTTTGGTTTCTTTAAACTTATTTAAATTATTATGATATTAATTTCTAATCTTAGTTTAACGACTATTCAAATAATAAATTAAGTAATTGTTTTAAAATCGAATTTTTTTTCTTGTTCCACAACTTTGTCTTATATAATATTATACACGCAGACATACAAAATCCGCAAAATTAATTGTTGCGTTTCAGTTTTCTCCATTCATTTGGTAATATTATCATATTAAAAGAAATTTACAATTTTAAAAAGACAATTCGAATTACTTAAATTATATATATTAAGTGAATACAATGTTATTTAAGAAAAACAATACAATTCTTTGCAGTAGTTATCTCACCACCCTGATTTACGAATTATGATATTACAATATCCGTAGGTATGTGAACCTAGCTGCCATATAAATCCATATTATAAAGTCTATATAATATATAACCAGACCAAATTCGGTGATTCAAGTGCTCCGGCACAACGATTGCGGGAGAGTAGTGGTATGCAATTTGCAGTGTTTATCGTGTCCGAATGATAATGTATGACTGGGATGTCGGTTAACCATGTGCATTGTATTTATTATATCGCTGAGAGAAGTGTAGCTGTAGCACTGCGCAAGGACCGCCTAAAGCCGGGTTCTTTGTCTGTCTTATGGCTGAAAGTTGAGCTCGGCCTAATTCTGGACATTTCTCGATAGATCTGGGTTACAGTGAACGATACTACAATATTGTGACAGCCTGCAATTAAATTACGATAATGTGTACATTACACGTCGTCAGACGTGACGTAACTGACCAGGTGACTTAAAAATGCTCATTGAACAGTGAACCGATATTTCCAGAAACAAAGTCATTGCTGTGATTGGCCGAATCTAGTGGTTAGTAAGCGGCAATGTAACCGCGTATATGAAATATAAATATTAATGTATATACTTTCGTACATTCGAGAGATGAATCCAATTCTACTCAATTACCGAAAAATAAAATAAGATTTTTTTCTGGAAATCACGATGCAGTGTGAAGTGTCCTCAAACCATGGTGTGAATCTCCGGGTAATCGGAGTCGTCGTTCAGACGGCGTGGTACTCGGAGACGCTTCGGGCCAATGAGCCGCTAGGTAAGTCTTCCGGCGAAGTCCATCGTCGTCGTCCGTCAGAGAAGTCGGCTGCGGCTGTTGCCTCCACTGCCGCGGTGATAGCAGCGATGGCGGTGGCGGTGGCGGATGCTGTGCAGCACAATCGATGGGGGTCGATACTGGTGGCCACTTGCCATGCGCCACAACCGCCGCCGCCGCCACCGGCACCGCCACCGCGGCCGCAGCCACAAAAAACGCACGCAGTGTGTCAGTCAGTCGCGTACGTACGCCGGCGGCCGGTCCGTCTGTCGTGTCCGTCTGTGTGTACACACGTCTCCATGGCCGTGGTCGTCCGTTCGTCCGTGTGTCCGTCCGCGCCGCGTCCACCAGCCGTCCAGTGACCGCCGTCGTGTATTTACAAATTGTTTTTTTGTCCGTTCTCGTCGTCGCCGCCTTTGAATTTTCTCGGTCTCGCCATCCTCGCCGGCCGCCCCTCATCCTCTTCCCACCTGTTTGCCAAACACGCGACACGACGTGTTCCTCATTTGACCGTTTTGTGCCAGAGTCTTCCGACCGCCTCACCCGCCTCCGTCGTGACTGTTTCCAGCGGCCCGCCGTGATCTCCAAAAAGATTTTCGGTGTACCGTACCTCCCCCGCGACGCGTTGCGTGCCGTATCGTTAAAAATTATAATATTATTGTCACCTTCCCCCTGATCTACCGACCTCGTACGATTCACGCTATCAGTTCGTTTTTGCGATTTCAAGTTTTGTGTGCATCTACATAAGCGTGTTACAGCAGCGTCATCGCAGAGCACTTCCGTTTTCCGATGACATGTGAGTAAATACATACGATAATAATATTATTATAGTATATTAGTACCTATGATCGAGATCATAAAGTGACCAATCAAGTGGACCTTCGAGGTTTGAGAGTGCACAGAACCCACGGGGCCCACTCTTATTAACGACTAAGATTTTAAATAATCCGTCATAACTATATTACCTACTATATTATTAGAATATTTTATATGTGCTCGTGCCGGTCGTCTTCGCGGCTTTCATAGTCCGGGCACAAGGGAATTCGTTTCTCCACGATATCTCCGTACCGGGTCTTATCGTTTCTTTTCCCCCTCGTTGGGCTGATTCATTAATCAGTCGGACGACGTGCCGTGTGACGCCTGAATGCATATATATCACGATAATTGATGTCTTTTCGAAATCGTTAAGTTCCGAAAATCATTGTATTTAGGTTCTGTGAGTAACGGAGACGACCGTACCTGCAATTGTTATTATTATATCTGTCATATGTCTTGTGCGTTGGAGCTCAATGGCACGCGTGTTATGTACTCGGTTATTCATAGAGAGCCAAAGAATGTTATAATTTTATAAAAACTCCAAAAAGTGCTAATTGCCAACGTCGGTTCAAATAGGTATTTTTAAAATGTATTATATAATATAATGCATTAAAAAAAAAAATCACCTGTTAGGTTTTATCACAATATTTCACGCATAACATTGGCTTATGATCAATCTGCATCGATGGCCGCTGCCACTACCACCGTATTATTAATATAACGTTGACAAAATTATTTGTGTAAGTGTAGTAGTATATAAATATATAGTATATTGTATACACTTTTGTTCTAAAACTATATAGTATTATAGACAACTGCACTTATAATAATGTACCACGATTATGGTTTAAGCCCGGACCGGGGGACTTATAAAGAAAAAGAGGGAACGTTTTCTGGATACGGACTCGACGAGGCAGAAGTAAAAGTATCGGTAATACGCGTCTGCAGTGAACTTAGTGTGACAGAGACGAATACGTGGTATACTGAAGTATAAAGCTTTCGAGTAACTATTTAATTGCGGATCGGGAAATCTCTAATAGTGTGTAAAATGGGAATCAATGAAAATGTTTCGCATGAATGCCATATCAAATTTATCTTGGTACAGTCACATTTACAAGTAAATGTATATGTAACTTTAAATACAATCGACAGAAGTTTTTAAAAAAATTGCGAAAGTCACACTAATTAATTAATTAATAATTATTATTTTTCGCGTATATTATTTATGTACCTACCAAATTTAACAATATTTTGAAGAAACAATAATATTGATAGATTATAAATATAAATATTATATAATATTCGAATAAACTAATAGGTATGATAATTATTTAAAAGTCAAAATTGTACAATAATAATAAATAATAATTAATAAAGAGTAAGTAACTACATGTATGGAATATAATATATTATTTTATCATATAAACAAAAACCAAAATGTGTTTGTCACTTATCTGGTAAGATTTAAATCAAATTAAATTAGTATACTAACTCTAGAACTCTACAAATATTCAATCAATCAATTTACTCGCCGTGTTTGGTCTTATTCTACTGTAAAACTTCATTAAAAAATAAATTTTTAGCAGTATAGCAGTTTGCTTGCAAATATGACAATTTATTATATATTTATATGACATTCGATCTAGATTAAGTGCCTAAATGGGATTTTGAATGACACTGTATGTTTCTTTCTCTGATAGTATGTATAGATTATAGAGCCACAATTGAAAAAATATTTTTTAGAAATGAGAGAATAAATTACTAAATAATCTTCAAACTCTATTGTAAATTATTAAAAAAAAAAAAAAACTAGTAATTATAAATATTATATGAGAAATCCGAATTATTTAAAAAAAAAAACAAGCTGTAAGATATTTTAAACCTAAGTTGATCTGGTGCTTCTCTATTCATTACAATTACGTGTTCCAAAAGGGTATAAAGTGGTTAAAAGGAGGCGTAGTCGAGATGTTTAAGCTCTTGACAACTTAATAAATGTCCTCGTAAAACTTGTTACGACCTTCTATCACTGCTCATCATTTTTTATCTATCAATAAATTGTAATATTATATAAAAACTTATATTTTTTAAATAATAATATTGTATTTTATGATGCTATTTTTGAGTTTATACTTTTATATTTAAGAAAACAATCTATCGAATGCTTTAAAAAATGGATAATGAAACGAAATTTCAATTTTTCATGGAATGTATTTAACCCAAGATTTCCTTACAAGTTACTACATTTTAGGTATAAATAAAAACAAAAAGATAAAATATTATGACATAGTTTACTGCTTACTCAACTTAATAAGCTTAAATACATTATATTTTTAAACAATTATAATAATAAAATTTATACTTAATGAGACGTATTGGGTTAGCTACTATGAAAAATATATAGTTAGGTATTGAACATTTGAGAACATGTAATTGTTATCCTAAAATATTATTTGGTCATTAAATTAATTTGATTTAATAGGTAACACAACTTAGATGCTTAAAGAAATTAAAAAATTAATATTAAATTTTCATTTTCTATATTTGTTTACGAAAAAGTATATACCACAATGTCATAAACCACTATTCTATTACCACTTGTTGCTGTAATATAGTCTAATACCTGAGCGTAAAACGTATACTGGCATGTAATATAAAGTTGTTCACTATTCTTTCCTATTCTTGTAATACAACCTATAAAGGAATATACTTCAACCTTAAAGTAAGATAGTAATTTAATTTATCACTGATAACTGCAATTGCAAAATTTAATTTAAGAATCTTACAATATTTAGAGATACAATCTTTATACTTGTTAATATTATGTAAACACTGTTTAACGTATCTAACTATATAAACGTAGTTGTGTATACATATTTATTTAACGGTCTGTGGGCACAGTGTACAATCTATGCTTATAATTTATAATAATATAATTAAAATACGATTCTCTATTATCAATTTATTGTTTTAAATAAATTAACATTATACTGGAAAGGTACTTAATCAATCAAAACATGAATAATTTAAGTATAATTACTGATCAGTTATTATTAACTTTAGGTGGATATAATATGGAAATTAATTATAGTTTTCGTATTAATCTATTATTACTTGAGAGTAATAAATAGTTCCATTAATAAATGGAACCGAACATACATTTTACAATTGGTTTGAACTTAAAAGAAATAATAATAATTTATGTGAAAAAAAATTATTATTATAAATTATTATAGTCCTTTAGTGCAGTGTTAATTAGTGTTAATTTTGATTGATATTGTTATTAAGTTGTTATTAACTTAACTGGATGATATAATATTTTTTTTTATTATCTAAATTAAAATCTGTTTTAACTATTATGTTACATATTCGCATATTACTATAATATTATTAGATTTATTTTTTTTTTACAATAATTCGCTAAGAGGAATATTCCATTCTTACGGTAAAAGTAGATAAGGTACCTTTACAACTATTAAATAACTCCAAAAGTCCAAACAAATGTTTTTACTGTGAAAACCAATGATTCTTCTCGAAAAGTTGTTCTAATGATTTTTGTTTAGCTTTTATACAACGAAATATGGAAAGCGTAGAATTCTGACCAGAAATGTTCATATTTCGTCTCTTGGAATGTATGGTTCACGAATTTTACATATTTTATTTCCGAAAGAAACTTCGGGTGACATTTAAACTTTAATGTGGTACACAATTTTATTATTTCCGTGAGTTAGACGCGTGTTCTAAACGAACTAATGCGATAAATCAGAACAGCTGCTCTTTGACCCGTAAACACCAAATACTTACGAACTGAATATTTCGTATGCGTTTGTTTTCATGGTAGGGAGTGGAGAAGTTATGGGGGTGTAATTTAAAGCCAACGACTGTTTGTATCGCCCTGGAATTCCGCTTACCATTTAGATGTGTATGCCATTGCAAAGAGAGGACAGTCACACACGAATAGCCTGGATAAACAATAGGGCCTGATATTTCTTTTTCTGGCTATTCACCCAATCTATTCTTCGGATTTCTCTTTTTTTCGACATTGTTTTACCATTTAGGAAGATATAGATGAGGGCATTTGGTCGTTTGGAGTGGTTCTTCTTGAAATCTGGTGATAAAAAATGGCGATAAAATATTTATTGCCTACAGACGTTTGGTATTGGTGCGTTTGTATTTTCTGTAAACTTTCATGTATGTAAAGTCAAATGTTTTATTTAATACACATTACACATAAAATAATGTTCAAATAGGTTATATTGTGCGTTCAATAAAAGTAAGACGTCAACAAATTGTAATTTGTTATTTTAAAGTTTTCAATTATTTTTTGATATTTATAAAATATTTTCAATAATATGCAATTCATATCATATAATAACATCCAAATATTTCAAGAATGACATTATACATTTTAAAGTTGTGTATAAATAATTGATTTTTATTTAACTAGATAAGAGACAAATTATTTTAAAGTTATATTATTATATAGTATTATGTTTCTTTAGTTTACGTCAAATAATCTAAATAGTTATTATACATTTGTTAAAACTATAATAGGTAGTCTACATTCATACATGTTGATATTTTTTTTTAATTTGTGCTTTATCAATTTATCATAAACCATAATATTATATGGACTTATGATATCGGTACGATTAAAACGGGTTTTTACAACATCCTGTGCTTTCTATTTCTGAAATTTGTTACAAATATGCAAATATGCAAATATTTTCAATTATATAACTTTAATACTACCTAGGTACATTTTAACAAGTATAAATAATTACAAAAAATGTTTATACTAAAATATTGAACGATTTTAATATATTTATGGAATAACAATAAGTTTAATTTTTAATATACAGTAAGTATCTACAAAGTGATCCATTTCCGCAGAGAATTAAAAAAAATAAAAATGATTTAGACTTCCATACTATTGTGTACTGATAACATTATATTCCACAAGGAATAATATTTTATACATTTGGGTTTGTTAAATG